CTTTTTCCCCCCTCTCTCTCTCTCTCTCTCTCTCCATCTTCACTCTGCCCTTTTCATCTCTCCCCGTCGTCTCTGCCTTTACCTCTCCGTCGCTTTTTCACATCCAGATTGCGTGCCTGCCTCTCCATCCGCTCCCGTTATTCCCTCGCTTAATCCCGTCCTTACCTTGTTGCTCCTATCCCCCTCTTCTCCCGCCCCTCTTGGACGCCTTTAACGCACTCCTCCGACCATCGCTCCATCATTTTCTCTCCTCCAGCTCCTTAACTCCACTTCACTAACCTACTCTTTCTCTTTCCCTCTGTCTCCTCATGTCTCCCTCTTTCTCATGTGTTTCCCCAAAGATTGATGACTCTCCGCTACAAGGCGAGTGGGCCTGTTTAAAGATGCATGAGGTGATGAGGCCAAGTTTTCTCCTCCTTCTCTTCCTTTCTCTCTCCATTTTTTTTCCTCCCAGTCCTTTCTCCTGATGGCGAGAGGCTTCCCGCTCTTCCCAAACCTCCGAATCCTTTCCCCTGCTCTTGTCAGGACGGCTTGAGTGTGACGTATGACGATCAGCCAGCAGACAGTGTGATAAACGATGCTTGCCGGGGACCCGCAACTCATAAACGGACTGAAAAAAAACCCCCAAAAAACCTGGCAGTCGTCAATACGATGATGCACTGAATCGACAGGGAGTGGAGGATCGCTGTGGTGGAAAAAAGTTTGAAGGGCGATCTTTTTATGAAGCAGCCAAAATCGTACAAAAAGGAGATTTGCGAGACCGAAGCCAGGCAGAGTTGTAGTCCGCCATCGACGAAGTGCTTTTATACGCCTGATTCACGGTCGACTTCTCATAAATAACATTCTTCAGTTTCTAAAAGTTTAATTACTAAAGCACTCGCCTGTATACATTATTCTTAAAGTCCTCTTCTTCAACAGAATGGGAGCGGCGTGCCAAGTCAGGCACAACTTTAAACAGTTAACCTACAATGAATAAAGCCGCGGTGCCAGGCGGCGTTTGAATATATAGCCGTGCTGCTCTTTCTCAGTTTGCCCGGCTTGCTCACATTATGCTTCATTCGTGTGAAACAAACTAAGAGTAAAGGTGCAGTTCTTCCAACTAATGATTGTCTCTGCAAAAAAAAAGCAGCCAAAGTGTTTGTGGCCACCAAGGAAACTCTCCATTTTGACCTTTTTATCTGCTCCACTGCATTCACCAGCAGCTCCCTACCTTTTGTCTGAGTGTCTAATCACTTTGTCTAAAACCGCTGCCTGTGACGCCCGGTGAACGCTGGGAGCACCAACTGATAATTCATATAATAGAGCGTTACCGTGCGAATATTGATTAGCGCGGCTTTGAGTATTGAGATTTGACAAAGCACCCTTTTCTCCTCAGAAATGTACTCAAGTAGAGGAATTCAAGTGGCTTCAAAAAAGGTTTCGTTTTCAGAGAGTCCTCTCAACTTCGCAAATTTTTGTAAAGCAGTGACCTTCTTCAACGGTAATCCACCTCCCGACGGCTTTGTGTGCATTTAATGGAAAACAATTAAGAGAGAATAAATCAGTCCAGGAGTGTCACCGTGTATTTGTCGAGCCCGGATGCCGCTTTTTTTGCAATTTCAACTTAAAGCTGGCATGGATTTGTATGACTGCTTTCAAGTATATAAAAGCTAGTTTGATAAGCGAGAACGCTGCTTTATACGAATCATTATCCGTGAAACATTTTGATGTAAATGGCCATTCGTCAAAAACGGTATAAAAGCAGCTCGAGCGTTTGACCATCAGAGCAACAATTCCAGCCTGTCTCCTTCTGAATTCTACAGCTGGAACTTGTTTTTCAGGTCACAAGTTTGCCTCCATAACCATTAGAGCCAACAGCTTACGGGACACTGACAGATGAAGAGCCATGTTTTAACCCTCTGAACCCAAAACCTGTGTGGGGGTTTGTGAGGCGTGTTATCTTAAAGGGGAAAATCACAAAAAATTGCAGCATTTATCAGACGCTGTAAAGAATCATCAGCTGTTTGACGGTAACCTGTTCAGTGAGGATCAAATCTAAGCTTAAAACATTTCACCATAATCTACATGTTTCACTTAAAAATTCTCAAAAAATAACCAGTTTGAGGTAACAGGATTCTGTACAATAAGAAAAATTCTGTGATTATCGATAAAAATGCAAATCTATGAGTGGCTCAGCTGTGATTAACAGTCATGTGGCAAAAATTCTGGGATTTTTGGTTGAATTGGGCAAAACCCCCAGGCTCTGACAGACTTAGAAAAAAATAAAGTTAGTCACATTGGTTTCCAGTATTGGACAAATGTTGTTGATTCCATGATTTTTCAGTTTTTTAAAGATAAATATCGAAGACATTCCACTGTTTTTTTTAATGCTTTATGGTATTATAACTTTTTCCTAGCTATTGTGCTGCCTTCTTAGAGGTGCAGGACTTTATATTGCAGTAAAGAAAAAACGAGCAAACAGGGTTTAATAAAGCCTGAAGTATTAATTCGGCTCAGTTTCTAACTGCGCGCTAAATGACTAGTTGAACTTATCAAGAGCAATAAGGTGATGCTCGATACCAATGCTGTGCAAGTCACATATTGACGTTTCTATTCTTTGCTGGACGGATGTCAATGTGTCAATAAAGCAGCGCCGAGGTCTCAAGTCGATTAAGATCTTTCAGCTCCATCTGTTCTTCCATATTCACACACGACGAGTCAAAGGTTTTCAATGCCACCACCATGCAAACCTCAATTTTCTCCAATCTCACTTATTCAAATGAATCAAAAGGCCGGCCAGCGTATGTGACCCCAGAAAAAGACCCTCGATTAGTGAATGAGCTGTTTGACCTGAGCTGCCTAATAGACTGCCATCAAGCAGGCAGGAGGTAAGGAGCGGAAAGTGTCTCTTTCCCCTATCATTAAGGCCGACACAGACAAAGCTTCCACTGAAAGGCGATAAGGAGGGACAACTCTTGCTCTGTTTTGGCTGACACGGGGATGAAGAGAGCAAGGGTTGGGCGGGGGGGGTGAGACTATTAAAGGACAGTTCATGGAAGGTTGAAGATCTTCTTTTTTACATTTTGTACATACTGTGCCCTCGGGATGTGGTCATTATCGCCACCGGGTTCTCCTTGAGCTCCACACACACACCCATTCTCACAATGTAATATATATCTATAATATTTATTCATTCAAACAAAAAAAAAACTCAAAGGACTAACATTTTATGAGACACGCTTGTTTGCCCTTGTTCTAAAAGTGAAATACGACCATCGATATAAAGAGTCATTTTCTGAGGGGTGTTTCAAGTCGTGCTCACAACTTAAGTCTGAAAGTCCTTTTAAAAGGTGGATTTTTTTAAAAAAACATCAAACAAAACCAGGCCGGTTGGTTCCATATGGTGAAAATCCATTTTTGTTTTCGAACTTGAACTTGAAGGTGCAAATAAAAAAGGCTGTGAGAATGTGAAGACGCTTACTACGACCCCACAACTAAATGGCCATTCAGCTTGGCAAGCTAATAAGAACTTTATTCAGTTTCTGAGCAGAAACTGAGTGAACCAATAGTCATTGAGCAAAAATTGCATATTTCGGCCTTTACTTTCTACCTGGTGAGCCATTCACAATGAGACGCTAACTTGTAGTCCACAAGGCTGGTAGAGCTGCTTCTGCTAACTCTAAAATGTCTCAGTCATGAGCAAAAGAAAACACAACAGACCTCATGCACTCCCAGCATCTGAGGAACTGAAGAGCCAGTGGATGTTTGTAATGCAATGTCCCCACAACAGTAGGAAAACCTTTAGTGTTCGAACCAGTGTGGTACCATGAGGTTTGATCTAATGTCCAAAAGTCTAGGTTGTGTGAAGATTGTAAGGCCATTTAGAAATGGTGGAAACTTGAAACTAATAGACAAGGACTTGGTTGGTTACTGTGTTTTTACTACTTCAGTGCATCCTGAACTCTAATCGGTTGACATTACAGAGCCATATCCAAGCTGAAGCTCTGTACCGCTAAGCTGCTAACAGTATCTAACAAAGTCACCATATACAAGAGCAAAAAACAACGGCTGTGCTTAGAATTTGGCAATATTTTCAGGTAATGCAATCACGTGTGGTCAGCTGTTCTGCTCCACGTTGTTAATCATAGCCGCAGAGAGAGTCTTCTTCCTGAAGGGGGCGTGGTCAGCAGCATTTACAGCCAAACAGCCAATCTACAACAGGGCTAAAACTAGGGGGTATACAGTCATTGTAATATAAACCATCTTGGCAGTATTTTGAGCTGAAAATGCAACACGTTCATTAACTTGCTCAAAAAAAAAGAGGTCCCATACAGGATTTTTAAGCTAATGTCTGCTGCTAACCTTGGTTAGCCTTTCCCTGAATCCAGCTACTTAACCCATACAATATGATTCCAAAGAGATTTTACTCATGAAACATATAATCTAACATATAGAATAAGAACATACATTGTGGTATTACTGAGCTTTAGCAGTGCCTTTCAGGAAGCCAGGCTATTTTTTTTTTCCCACCCTTTTTCCCGCCTTTATGCTGAGCCATGGCAACCAGCCGCTGGCTTTAACCGCTGTGCTAAACGTTCAGCACATCAGAGTCAGCCCGGCTGTCTTCCTCCTACCTTCAGTCTTTATGCTAGACTAGGCTAAACACCACACTTCTGTTCGTAATGCACAGGCATGAAACGGATATCGATCTTTTCGTATGCGCTTTGAAAAAAAAAAAAACAGAAAATAGATGTATTTACTCAAAACACAGAACTGTTTCTTTTACATGAGGGGGGGGGCATGTTGCAAAATGATATCCGAGTAACATAAAAAAAAAATGCATGTGGAGGAAGAGAGGAAACAAAAAAAAAAAAGACAGAAGATTGCCACAGAGGCATTTAGATAGTGAGGTACGAATGAGAGAGAGGAGGAAGAGACAGAAAAGGAAGGAGGGGGAGATGGAAAGGACAGAGGGAGGCGGAGAGGGAGAGAGAAAAACAAGGCTAGACAGGGAATCAGACGGTCAGAGTGACAGAGGCAGACTGACAAGCAGAGAGAACAGAATGTGTAGCTGATAGATGACTGCAAGATGCAGAACAAAGGGAAGAGGATGCACTTGTTGTACCTTCTCTTTCAGCCCGAAATATGAAGGTCCGGAGGGACGTGACTACCTCAAACTTGTTGTCACCGAGTCCTCGCACCTGTCTGATAGCGCTGGCCAGGATCATTCCTTTGGAGTACATCTCCTAGACAGAGAGAGACACGTAAACAGACAGGTGAAGAACGCTGCCGAAACGCACACTAAACAGCTAAATAAACACAAGCAGACACGCGCGCAGCTTCACGCATGCTAATAATGTTATTGAATTGTTGCTTATTCCTATTATCTGCATCTCTAGCCCCCACAATTACTATTTTCCAGCGCATTGTTTGCATCAATAGATGTGTAATTCAGAGTTGTATTACCATCGGCGAGGATTGCATTCAATTTGAAACGGCACTGACAGACATCCTCATCAAACCGGAGCCATATCCCATCAATACGCCGTCAAATTTATTTGCAGAAATAGCTGCCCTGTTCCCTTTCAAGCAGTAACTTTGATAAATGGCACAGAGCTCTTGGACAAGAAGCATTTGAATCAAAATGCCGCTGCAGGAATACAAACAGGAAACTTGTGCGTTTCTGAAACGAGCCGCGTGCCGTTAAGCGAGCCAAGTCAGATTTGCATCAAACGTGATCTTTGACCTCGAATTCAAATAGCTTGAAATGTAGGTGCGGGGAAACAGCCCTTAAAGTAAATTGCATGACATCAAAGACAGACGGAGCTGTCATATGGGTGTTGAAAGACATCTACAAGCTGAAAACAAACTTCTCAAGTATTGAAAAGAGACATGCATGATGGTGGGGAATTGTGGGAAAGCACAGGAAACACTGGGGGCGAAGTGGGATTTGGTTGCATGTATTGTTTCATTACCGCCATGTTTTTTTTTTCAGCTCTAGCGGAGGCATCCAAATAAGGAGGATGTTGCACTGGAGGCTTCGTGACCCTCTTTGCAGTCTCCCTTGACAATGGCAATTAAACTACTGGGTCATTGTCAATGTGAAAGAGACGGAAGAGGCCAAAAAAAAAAAAGAAATCAAACCTTAATATTGTCACAAGGAAGCAAGGACGGAAAGGTGCCGCCATCGAATCAGTATTCAAAACCCGAGGTGTCAAGTATAACGCAGAAGTGCCCTTAAAGTAGTTGGAAAAATCCAAGAACATCTCCGATTGTGATGTTCTTGCAATAGAGGGGGGGGGACGGCGTATTAGCAGCGAAAATCACTGGGCTGCAAAAAGGAGGGAGAAAAAAGGGGTCATAGCAGACATTGCATTATTCATGTTGATAATGTCATTATCATTGCAAAGTATGAAAAAAAAAACAGACGCGACTCTTTTTTTTCCCCTCTCTCTCTCTGTCACTCTTCAAGAGGATTGACCTGAATTTTGATTCTGTGCAAAAAAAAAAACTGTAATGTTTGCTTCGCTGTTCTCCCACGGTCGCATCCCGCGAAGACAAAAGAGTGCAGAGTAAGGAAGGATGAATAGAAGAGGGGAGGGGAAGGAAAAAGGAAGTGAACTTCTGACTCCTTTCTCGCCATTCTTAATTAAGCCGGTGACCTTGCCGTCCACAAAAAGCCTATTTCTAGAGACCGTGCAGCCAAAAATATACCAGCCAGTGAGGGAGAGCGGGA